TGAAGGATGCAGCCAAGCACTGAAGTATAAAATATATACCAGGCTTCAAACTGTTTCTAAAAAATTCCCCAGTTTCTTAATCTTGCTAGTCAAGTCAGTTGGAATCATAGAGCCAAGGAAATTGATAAAAGTCAACTTTCTTCTTCATAGGCCTGCTCTCAATTGTGACTGCCCACAGGGTCAGGGCAGGGTGACCTCCTCAGTGTAGGCTGGGCAAATCCTCAAGAGACCATACCACTGAACAGAGTTTCTAAGGGCTTTTCCTTTCATTTCTGGGAACAGCATAAATAGTGACCCTTGTTGTTCCCTAGGCACATACTTTATTACTGCAGAGGATTGCTATCCTGCTCCTATCCAAAGGGTCGGGGAGTATCAGCTCTCACGCTGTGGAGGGGGAGTGGGTCTGCAATTGTATCACTTTGCCTCAGCTCAACCCTGCTCATAGAGGTCTCACAGCATCCTCCTGTATGATGGTCTCTCTCTTTCCCCAACAAGTAATCCTATGAAGGAACATCCTATGGGTCTTCCTCAGCCTAGTCTTTACTCCAGGAGACAGAGGGCTAAGCTCCTTTATCATTTTGTCCTTGCTAGATCTAGTTTGTGCTGGAATAGGCACAGATACAGTTTCCCATAGCTGGTTAGCAAGTTATTTATGATTCACTCGGGCCACTGGCAGGAACATGGTCAGTGTGCCAAATCTCAAATCTTTTCGTTGTGTAAGGGATGGCTTATACAAGTCAGACTGAAATATAGTATAACACTTTATTCTGTTATAGGGTGCGTATTCCCATAATTTGCACTTTTCAAGTTTTCTTAGAACTCTTATGTTGTTATTACAATTTTCTGAGTTCTGATTGAATTTTCAACAACATTCTCTCTCTCAGGAATGCTTAGTGTATCTATTGACCTTTTACTATGGACCTGTCTGTGGAATATAGAAGTCCCTACCTACCTACAAAAACAAGCAAAAATTGCTTAGGTCTTTCTTCGAGGGACCTAGGCCCACTGTAGCAAGCTCTTAGGAGTTCCTGTAGACGGTATTATGAAGTGCTTGCAGGAAGTAACTGATAATCTGCCTCTTTGGAAGCTCTGATTGCTTGGAAATAAGAGAGAGTTTCTCATGGTTCTTACTAAGGCCCTGTAGTATTTAAAAAATTGTTGCTGGTGGTGCTAAAGTACAATATGCGTAGTACTAGAGTATATTAATTTCCTGATACTGGCAATATTTCCTCCTGATCCCTAGAAAAGACTAATAGGATTGTGTATGCCAGTGGAAACAAGCCCAATCAAGTGGTCTTTTCTGGAAACTTACATGGCCCTCATTAATCAAGTGGCTCACCAACGATATGGTAACAACGGAGAACCAGTAGGGTAAGAAGTTATGTTTTACCCTGGGAAAAAACATCTTAAAGTCAGAAACTGTTGAGATCCAGGCTTTGATCTACAGCCTGGTTTTCATAGGTGAAGGATAGTACCTGATGGTCTTATACTGCTTATAGTATTAAGCAGAGGTAAGACGGGTCAAAGAGATAGACACCGTTGGATTCTATTGCTTTGCTAACCACAACCCTAGTTTTCTAAGTTCCTAAAACGTCTTTTTCTCTGTGTTCTAGGCAGTACTTCTTCAAGTGTGGTCCATGGATTGGCAGCTTCAGTGTCAGCTGAAAGCTTGTTAGAGATGCAAATTCTCCAGCCCCTACTGACTCAGCATTTCTGGAGTGGGACTTCAAGAATCTATTTTAACAAAAAGCTCTCTCAGTGTTTCTTCTGTACATTAAAGTTTGAGTAGCACTGTTCTAGGGCATCACATCCTGAAGTGTGTGTTCTGTGGGTTTTTAGTAGGTGCCATGCCAAAAATGTTTCTAGTTGTCATATGAATTTGGAAAATGTTGGGTTAAACAAAGTTAAGCTTTTTATTTTTTTTGTGGGGAGGACTGCCAGATTCTGCAGAGCTTTTAATATGTTACTTTACTACTCAAAAACCTCCATTGTATTTCCAACACACTTAAAGTAAAATCCAAAGCCCTTATCATGATCTATGAAGCCGTGCATGGTCTGGCCACTGCTGATCTTCTGATGTCATTTGCTATCTTTGCTGCTCTTGCTTACTACATTCCACCTACACTGACCTCTTAGCCAGGCCTTACTGTAGGCCTTACTGTAAGGCCTTCGCACTTGCTGTTTTCATCGCGTGGAAATCTTGCATCTCTTCTCAAATGTATCTTCTTCAGAGAGGCCTTCCCGGGTCGTCCTGTACAAAACTGTAGTTCCTGTCACTTCACTCCAGTCCTTTATCCTGATTTATTTTTCTTCATAGCTCTCACTACTGTCTGACATTTACAATATTAACGTTTGTTGATTAGTTTACCATTTGTTTCCCCCACTGGACTGTTATTAGCTCCACGAGGAGTTTGTTCATTGCTGATACTTCAATACCTGGAATGGTGCCTGGCACATAGTAGGTTACTTAAATATTTATTGATGAATTAGTGAACAAATGAGTGAAGAGAGGAAATTGTAGAATAGAGAGTAACAGCAGTAGGATAAAGTGTGGTTGCCCAAGAATAGTGTGTGAGCCTCCCAGAAAGCAAGATAGAGAGGATACTTGCAGGGCTTGGTCCTCCAGGGTCTTGAGAGTCAAGTCAAGTCACTGTTATGACTGATACTAAATCATTGATCATTCCCATTCCCCACTGAGGCATGGGGAAATGAATCTCATGTATTTTTGCCTGTAATCATGGAACAGTAATGACCATTTCACACAGAGTGGACTCCCAGTTGGCTCTCCAATGAAGTGTTTTCTCTAGTTTTTTTCTCTGTCATTTATCTATCCCTGGGAAATCATTCACTTTCATGGCTTCAGCTGTTATCAGTAGACATTGGCCAAATTTCTGTGTTTAGTACCCAACTTCGTCTCCTGAATTTTTACTGCCAGTTGTATATGTCTACTTGGATGTTGAATTAGCACCTACAGACTCAAGATATTCAGAGCTAAAAGTATCATATTCTTCCCCAGAGCATTTTCTTCTCTGATTTCCTTACGTCTGGTTAATGGCAGCAGTATCCTCACAGTCTTTGAAGCTAAAAACCATGGGGGTATTCTAGAAGTCTCTAAACTTTGCCTTTTCTCATTCAAACAGTTGTCCAGTCTTGTCGATTACTTCCAGTGTTTCATACGTCTGTGTTTGTTTCCTTTTTTTGTTTTGTGTCTACCTTAACACTGGAATATTATAATAACCTCCGAACTATCTTCCCAACCCTGCTTTCAATCCATCTTAAACAGATTCCTCTGCCTGACTCTTAACAGTACTGCCCAGTATGGCTACAGCTTGTCCATACAGCTTTATGTCTACTGTTTCCTCAGTTCATTTCTCAGATCTAGCCAAACTGGACCACTTGTTCTTTTTCTGATTCTTTCTGAGTTCTTCTATTCTTATGTCTTTGCTCATTCTGCTCCCTTTGACAAAAAAGCTTTCATTATCCATGTTTATTAGCATCCTGTCCATTCTTTAACACCCATATCAAATATTCCCTCTCCAAGATGGCTTTTTGATACCTTCTTTGAGAAAACGTGCTTTCATTTCTTTTTTCAATATCACTTCAACGTGTAAGATTTTGGCACATTTATACATCATTTAAAAATTAACTCGTGTTCTTATTTTACTTCTACCAGTGTACTAAAAAGCCCCTTGAGGGCAGAGCCTTTGTCCTAACTCATCTCTTAATCTCCACAGTAGGTACCTAATGCGCATGTAGCGACTTGAATTGAAATACCTTGACTCAAACTATGTTTTGTAATAGCTATATCATATATATCATAGCTATGTCATATATATCATATATATCATATATCAGTTATATCATAGACTAAAAATGTTCATTTGGATGGGGAACTCATTAAATGGTGACATTCACATTCAGGCATTTTGGGAGTGGCATGGCCAATATTATTAATGATTTGACACAGAAAAGGTACAGGAAGGTTAAATGATTGCCAGTGCCACACAGTAGAGGACCCAGTACTCTCAAGTCCCAGTCTGCAAGTCTGATTCAGGCTTCTCTTTATAACTCTCCCTCCTCTGGAAATAGCAACTGCTGTTCATCAGCTTTTGGGCATGTAAACTGCTTGGAGCAAGGGAAACGGGGAGACTTTATCCATTTATCCTCAAGAGATAAATTCAGATTCAGATGCCCAGGTCTCAGAATGAGACATCAGGCAGTTGCCTTGTCTGTTTCTAAATCTGGTGGCTGGGGAGCAATCCAAAGAGAGTCTGCCTCCATTCCACCCACCCAGTCACTCACCCTTCCACAAATCCTGCAATCCATTTGAACTGATGGAACTCTTGTTAATTGCCTCTTACTGGCCTGTTACAAAATGTAGCATGGGGAAGAGATAAAGCTTCCCTATTCACATTTTCAGTGGGCAGCAGGGGTCTCTGCAAAAATAGAGAACCTGGGGCCCAGGCTATTCATGTTTGAAAGTTAGGACAAGATCTTCCACCATTCAGAATCCAACATTATAATCACAATATTGCATCCTGGGAGACCCTGTCAACTTCTCAGATGGTCTGCTAGAAATTGAGTCTATTTAATAAATTAGCACTACTTATAGACTTTTTTCCCCTTTAAAGTGATACACACTTTACATTTTAATTTCAGTATTTTTTTTTCCCATTTGGAGGAAAGAGGGAGCGGAAAGGGGGGGAAGAGAGAAGAAAGAAAGAAAGAAGGAAAGAAAAGAAAAGGAAAGAAAAGAAGAAAAAAGGAAAGAAGGGAGGAAGAAAGAGAAGGGGCAGTGCTTTTCATGAAAACATTAGTTCTTGTATTTATGGTTTTGGAAAGCAAAGGGGAGGCGAGAACTGCAGCCTGATAACTGAACTTTCTGTTTAGAAGTTCCTCCTCTCCATTGGGCCTTAGCTAGGTTTCAATAATTATTGCTCAGGCACATAGTTTTGGAACTTTGCTTTCTCTCAGACTTGTACACAGTTCTAGGAAGGGTTGTTGCCAAAGCCGTCATGTGATTTATTGACCCTCCACTGGGACAAGGGGGAACAGATATAACTTTGTGATTTTATTATAAGGAGGCTGGGTTAATATTTCTAGGTGAAACAAGCTACTATACCAAGTTCAAACATCTGAAGAGGGAGGTTAAGAAACCCTGAGTGTGGGGTGTAAGGATTATTCTGTCCTGGGGCTGTACAGACGTCGTCTGAGGCAGGGAGCAGGAGAAGAAAGGACACATTGTGACCCATTTCCAACACCTCCTGTGTGTAGAGGCGGAAGTTCCTTGCCTGCAGAGGGACACGCGCGGAGGAAAAATAGGAGAGTTACAACATGGCACTTACATAAACAACACCAAACTGGCATAAAACGTCTAACAAAATTACACAACTTCAAGCTTGGAATTTTTATACAACATAAATATTAGGGTTCAGTCCATTTAATAATGCTATATAAAATCAAGATTTAAGGCAGTAATGTTCCACATAAACTCTGAAAACAACATTTATGCTTCTTATAAAAGCAGAAAATGATTGCATTCTGTGGGCTTTTCAAAATGATGAATATAATTACATGAAGCAACAAAAATGGATTGAATTAAAAATCCACTAGTTTCAATTTAAGTTGGTTAAGGGGGGAAAATGCAGTTTCTGGCCAAGGACTGAGAAAATTTTACAAGTATCCAAAAAAAAAAAAAAAAAAAAAGTATGTACTCTTAGGCAGTTAGGCAGCCTTCTCCCAACATGCATACGTAGCCCAAGAGTCACCAGTGAAATATGAGCTGCTTCAAACTTTCTAAGCCCAAGAAACCCTTTAATGGTATCTACTGTTGGAAGTTGAGCTGGTATTTTTTTTCTTCCTCCTGAGTACATGGCCACCCCCAGAATAAACCAGTTACTCCTCTGGTGTCTTTATAGCATCTTGTGCAATTTATTCTTCATCAGTGTTGGCTGTTTTGGACTAGGCTTGCAATATTGACTTGTAATCAGAACGGTACCCCAATGGAAGAACACTCTCAGATAGACTCTTGCCTCCATGGGTCAGAGGCCAATTCATAGTTGTCTTTCAGTTATTTAAAGAGAGCCAGTCACTCCTGTTAATAGTCGTCCTGTTTGCAGGCTAAACTTGGTTTATTTTCTGTGTGTATAGGAATAGTAGTGTGTGTGTGTGTGTGTGTGTGTGTGTGTGTGTGTGTTGAGTGGGGAGAGATGGTGAATGTAGGTCCAAAAAAAAGAAATCCAACCTAATGCTACATGATGTTAGCTTACTAGACAGAACCTAATAAACATTTCTCTTCTGTGCCTACAGGGTTTTTCTTTTTTCTTTTTTTTTGAAGTTGCTTATTAGTGGAGGTAAGATTTGCACAAGTGATTTAGACAAGTGATTTTGACAGCAAATTTTCTGTTTGTGGAAAGATAGCATGGCATAACCTTGGCCACTGCTCTAGACTTAGACTACCAATAGTCTTCTGTTCGTAAGTAAATTACTTGCAAATCTAACCATATACTTATTTATTTACTTATTTGTTTATTTATTTATTCCCCTTGCTTCATGCTATCCTGAAGCTGAGACTTGATGTCTTTCAAGGTGGGTTAGGCAATTATTTTTCCTTGTTTGACCAAACCACAGTGAAGTGGGCTCTGGGAACTTTGGAAGACATCAACATGGAGGAGCTAGAGAAAAGGTACAGAAGTGCAGCCTGTGTCCACTTATAGGCATCAAATTGAAAATGTGCATGTATGTGCAAAGTGGTATGTAAATAAATGAACAAAATATGTATACATATATTTTTTTACCTCTTGAGTTTTACCCCGTAATGCAGTTTCCATGAGCCATAAAAAGAAGATAAAAATGGTAAAGACTAGTACCTGGTGTAGAGGTATATTGATCTGCTTAAGGAGAGCTTTCACTGCCATCTGGAGCTCATAGAAGAACAATTGCACAGGGCAGTCAGAAGTATGATCCACACTTTCCATAGATTCAGAGCCAGAAAGCTTTTGGACCAATTCCCACTCCTCTCTGTATGTTGAGTCAAGTTAAAATTAGAAATATTACAAAAGTTCAGAACACAGCTCAGAACATTTTTACTGCATATGTCCGGAACCTGAATAACCAATTTTTGGTGGTTAAAACTTGATGCAATTCTTGAAATTTGAACTTTTTTGCCACCCAAATGGAGTTTAAAATGAACTCTTTCTAATTTAAGCTTATTTCACCTATCAAACCACATACACCTCAGAACAGCAGGTCTGATTTGTAATGAATCAGTTTTTGAGATGGGGGCTTTGAAATATTTTGTAATAATTTCCTGTCTTCACTTTTCTTTTCCTGAAGATCCCCTGTAAGTTCTAAGACCCTACACTTTACCACAGGGGCATCTGCTGGTTAATTCAGCAGTTGGGTAACCACAGGACTCTGGTCCAACTCAGGCAAGAAACCACATGGCACGTTTCAACCCTGGCCTGTTGTGATCGTGGGTACTATTTTGGTTTCCTTCCCCTTCCAAAAGCTTGAGAATCACAAACAGGAACAGCAGACAATTCCAATAAAAGGAACCAGGGGACACACATCACTGCTTCCATCCTCCTTTCAAACCAGTCATCTGTGTCTTTATTCTGCATGCTCTACAATCCTTCCTAGTGAACTTTTCCAAATGTCCTGCAGAAGGGAAGGGAACGGAATGGTGGTGGGAGGAAAGCACATCTGGTTTGTCCCCCAAAAGCTGCTCTTCAAAAGGATCTTGAAAAGATCAAGGTAAAAGCCTCTTGGGCAACATTGTTTCCACAGGTATTTTAGCACAAATCTCTAAACACATTCAGTTGGCACATTTTCTAACTCTGCATGGAGCAGCAATGTGCTCTCAGGAGCAGGCTAGAGAGGAAAGGAAAGCCCTCCTATTTTGGGTTGGAAAGAGAGGAGGTGCTAACATATGTTCCCACCCTCGTGAAAATCCTCTGAGGGCTCTCCCTGATGGGTTATACTCACTGGGGCTCCGAGCTATGAGCCAGAAAATGAAATTGATTGTGACATGAGCTTTTCATCAGAATACACTCTCTTTTAACCAGCTACCCTCTTAGAAAAGTTTCTGTTTTCATGATATCAGTTTCATTTCAATTCCCACACTGGAAAAGACTATGGAAAAATCTACCCTTTGTCTCAATAAGAGGAAAAAAAAAAAGAAAATTAAATCCTGCTTCAATCTGGGCACACTGTTGGCCTCAAAAATAATTGAAATCTTTGAGAACCTGCTTGGGAACTATATCTTTTCTTCCGTCACTGATACTGAACTAAATGAGGGGTTCTGACTAGCACGAGTATGCACAAAATCTAAAGGACCACATTGCTAAAAGATTATCTGTAATCAAATTAGAAAATAAATTACCAGGAAGAATACCATGAAACATCTACCACTAATCAGTTTAGTCTTTAAGGATGAGGGAGATGGAACCGGCAGAGGGAAGGCTACTGGAGTCTTTTGTAAAAATGAAACTTGGATCCTTGGCAAATGGAAATTAGTTGGTACAACCACTAAAAGATAGAGTCTAAACCTTTAAGGCACAAATCTAGAAAATGGATGAAAGTAACCATTGCAAATTCAACCCACAAATGAGCCTCTTGGGAAGGACTGAGATAACTAATGCTGATTGTAGAAGTGGCCACCAGATGGCAGACTTAAGTCTAGGTGTAGTTGGTAAGTGGAAGAGAATATGGCAGCTAGTGAGTTCTCTGAAGAGACCGTCATCATCATCGTCTCATTCACTGTCATCAAGTAGTATTTAATAAACATTGTGAGATACTCTCGTGAAAAAGTTCTTCTCGCTTTAGTGACCAAATTTTAAATGACCAAATTAGAGTCTCCTTTGGTTAAGCAAATCTGTAGGTGCAGCTGGAGCCTGAGGATCTAAATTGTACACTGAAGCTTGACAAACTCTTTTTCAAGTTCTTTTTCTTTCCTTGTCTGTTCTTTCTTTTCCTTTTCTTTTTGTGTTGAACACAGTTCAGTTCATTTTAGTAGACCTTCAGAGGTGTACTAGAGGGCTAGTGGTAAAGCTGAGTCAGATTACCAAGACTGGGCAACTTTTCCAAAGTTAACAGTAATTCACCATAATGCCAAATCATAGAGCAATTTCCGGAAGGTCAGGCCTTGTTACTTCTTTTCTTCCCTAGAGAACCATAAAGAGTGTAGGAAACACACAAAGTCCTTAGGCCAGGGGGTTGGGGTGGGGGGAGTGAGGGTAGGGAGGGTCCTTTAAGGTTAAGGGGAGACCAGTTACTCTACTAGAACCCATTTACACAAGTGATTTTTTTAAATGTGACTTTTTAGGTTGTGGAGAAAAGATATTGGAAATAGCAGTGCTGAAAGAAAAGGGCATCTATTCGTTAACCTGAATGTCAGTGGTTGCATAGAGGAAAGTGAAAGGATAGTGTCCCCTTTAAATGGGCCCACTCCTTCCACCAATCAATACTACAAGCCCTCCTTATCCTAACGTTAAAACCGAGCTATGCCTTTGCCCCAGTGGCCCCTGAGGACATCTCATCGTAGAAACTTCACTCAGAAGTAACATTTCAGTTTCCTTCTGGCACATCAAACCCATCACTTAGCCATTGTTTCATCATGAGGAAAATCTAAACTCCTCACAACTTACTTGGAAACGTTATTGTTCTCACGGATCTTCACATGGCAGAGAATGTTAGGCAACTTTTGGGTAACAAGAACTTTGATTTGATCCACAGAGCTACATAGCTTTAGGTAACCCAGATATAATCCAGGAGAGAGACGCTGATGACTCCTTTTGTGATAGGAGAGAATATCCTGTAGGATGAAAAACAAAACAAAAAACACATTGAAAGGCAATCTCTTTTCATTTCTTAGGTACACCATGTCATGAATTAAAGGAGCTGTAGCTAAGTAATTAGTGAGAAACCGTGGATACCACCATGAATGTTGAGAATGTGTTGGTGGTACAGCCAGTCTTGCCTTCAGGAGAATTAGCCTCCCAGTCAGGTACTCAGCCTTTAATATATACTCTGCATGCTTATTTTCCTCAGATTTCTGTTCCACGAACAGGTGTGTGGGTTGTGATTGGGAATGGTCTGGTTGGTGGTGGAGGCAGATAGATGCTAAAGAAAAATAGAATTCATAATTTCTGTCCTCGAAGGGTTTATTGTTTAGCTGGGGGAAAACAAGTTGCAAGTGTAAAAACTGACAAAGCAGTATAGGAAGCCTCATTATTTCAGGATAATTGGTGTCAGGAAAAGGATCAAAATTTTACAGTAAGTAGAAAAAAAAGGATTTGATTGTTATCTTGAAAAATCAAACAAGCGATAGCAATAGATTTATTTATCTTATTAACATTCGAGTTATAATCACGAATTCTGAGAATGAAGAGAGAATCAAGTATTGATTCCTGGGTTAACATTTTAGACTAAATTGTATGATAGCTGAAATGCTGTTCCTCTTCTTTGACTTTCACAATGTGATCAGGAAGAGGGTAATTTTTGCAAGAGTATTTGAAGGCTCCATATATATTTTTTCCCCTTGCATTAAACAAATTTGATATTCAGGTCATTCTCTTATAAAATCCTTGTTCATTGTGTGGTCTTCAGTTGTTAACTGGCCTACCATTGCTGGATTCTCAGTTGTCAGTAACTTTGCATGGGATTTGATTAGTCTCCATGTCATCTTCATCAGCTTCACAAAATTCTGTCTCTTTGACAAGGTTTAAAAATTTACCTTGTAATAGATTTGCATTGAATTTGCATTGTATTGTCACATCACAAGATTCCATAGGCAGCGGAGACTGAATAAAGTTGGTGCAATAGGAAGTGCCAGCCTAGTTAAGCACAGAGGGGTGTTTGAGTGGAGTTTTGTTTTCTTTGTGGTCAGTTTTCTAGTGAACTTTTAAGGTTGTGACTTTTGCTTCTCTATATGACTGCAGGAACTCAGGTAATAAATACTCGGTAATACAGACACTCCCTCTCCTGTATATCAGTAGGTAAGACTTTTTATACATTTGGGCAGTGTAGGGGTGAAACAGAGTAGGAGTGATGACTCAGGAAACTGATTATAGGGGAAGGATTTCTATAGGCCAGAGTTTAGCCTAGTTTTCAAAGGGTAAAAAAGAGGGAATCAACTCTACCACTAAATGTAGGGAAGGCAAAAGAGAAGAGAAAAACAAGTTTAAACTTACATAGAATTCAGTGTGGAACAGAAAGGTATGAGGTCAGGTCTTCCTTGACAGTATACTCTGAAGAAATGACCCCTCCTCTGTAGAATTAACCATCTGTAACATCTAACATATGCTATTGTGTATTGTCTCCTTTGTCCTGTCCTTATCAAACATATTGAGTTCCAGGTACTATAGGAGACATTGGGGTTTCAGGTGAACCTTATATGATCCCTGCTTTTGACGAGGTCAAGAAAGACAGATGACTAAAGGAATGATCACAATATACCGAAACCAGTTTATAATAGAGGCAATGTAGGCATACAGAGGAAGGAGTACTTAACTTATATTTTTCTTCTTTTATGTTGTTTTCTTGAACTAGACTATGAAATTAATGGCAGGGTTTTTTTTTTTTTTTTTTTTTAATTGCTTTGTCTCCTTAGTACCCAGTACTGTTTCTGTATATAATAGGTTTGCAACATGTGGAAATCAGGCCTTGTCCCTAAAACAGAATATGAGAATAGCAGAAGAGGGACAAAATAAGAATGGTCACAATTGGAAGGAAGACTTAAGTAGCACGTATAGGAAAGCAAAGACTAAATAACTTTTGAGATATTTGGCAAAGAAATAGACTAGAAAAAGTTGACTTCACCATTAAGAAGGAGGGAATTCTTATTAATATAAGGAGACTGATAAGGCTGAATATTTTCATCTTGTCTCTTCAGAAAAGATTGCAGATAATTAGTTGACTAGAGGAAGTTCAGTCAAGGTTAAATTTTGAGAAATGAACAGGTAGTCAAAGAGAGAGAAACAGTTAATGAGAGAAGGAAAAATGCAAGTATTTAATCAGCAGAATTTGACGATATGCACCCTAGGGGTGCTTGCTGTACGAGCAGATGTGGCCACAAACCCACAGATCATTATTTTTGAGAAGTGATGGAGAACTGGAATAGTCCCTAAAGACTGGAAAAGGGCAAATACGCCTATCTTTGAAACAGGAAGGGGAGAAGCACAGAATGACGCTAGTAATTAAAGACCACCAACTTATAGATCTTTGGGAAAAATGAGAACAGACCGTCAGTCAATCAATTTGAAGTCACCTAGGAAACCCTGAGACACTAAATAGGAGTCAACATGGTTTTGTGATGGGCAGATCATACAGACAACTTTAATTTCTAATAGCAAAAGAACAAGATCCATAGACCAGGGAGTTGTCTCCAGTATGATCTGTTTCACTAGATAATCTGGGAAAAGTATCAATAGAATCTTGACCGCATGACTTTAATAAGCTGAATATCAGGGTTGAAGATTTGTGGATGACGGGGATAGTATGGGAATAGTAGGACATATTGAGTGATGGCCCAGTAGAGACTGGTCCTGAGAGCCAGTCGGTTCATCATGTTTATTGATGTTCCAGACAAAGAAATGAAGAATGTGTGTATCAAATTTGTGGGTCCCAAATTTGGTGTGGTTTTGATTTTCTGGAAAATAGTAATAAAGCTCTGAATGACCTTATGCATTGGAAAAATAAGCCTATCATAATTAGGGTTGAAACGTAATAAGAAAATGTGCTTGTAAAGACCCAAACCCAAGAGTACAAATATAGAATGGGTATGAGTATAAGAAAAAACATGTGGGGGTCAGAACTGACCACAAATAGAATGTGAGTTAGGAACATACTGTGGTTATGTAAAAAACAACACCATTCTGGGATGGAGTCATTCACTCTTCCATTCAATTTTTTTTTAAAGACTATTACTGAGCATCTACTATGTGTTTTCCTGCCTTTACATAGTCATTTAGCCTTCAATAGTCAGAATGTTTTTGGAGCCTGAGAAATGCATGGGAAGAGAAAGAAGCTGTCCTAGTCACATAATCTGAGGTACATTAGAAAGGTCTCCTAAGCCAAATCAAATGCCTGTGGGTTTATATATTGCCTGATTTGACCTCTAACCTGCATTTCTAGTCTCTACTTCCACTGCAGTCCTCTTGTGTCTCTTATCTCCAGCCAAAATGGATTGCTTTTTCCTTCCTCATACATAGCCTAATCTCTCTTCTTTGATTCTTTGTTGGTTCATGAATTCACTCATTCTACCAACTTTTATCGAGCACTTTCTACGTATCAGGCATTATGCTAGGATGTTAGTGACATCAAGATGAATAGGACATGATCCTTCTTTTCATGGAACTCGTATTTCAGTTTGTGAGAGAGACATGTGAGCAAGTTTTTCTTAACCCAGTATGATAAAGGTTGTGTAAGGGCCATTGTGGACTCAAGGGAGGGTGGGATCTACTTTTCCAGCTTTTACCTTAATTTTTTGTACCATGCCCTCTATTTAATTTAATTCTCTATTTACTTAATTCCTTCCTTCCTCCCTTCGTTCCTCTCTTCCTTTCTTCTTCCCTCTCCCTTTCCTTTCTTCTCCCTCCCCGCTGTCTTTCTCTCTTTCTTTTTTTCTCCACCTGGTAAACTTAACGTACCCTTCATGGCTCAGCCAAATGCCACCTCTTCTGCAGCGCCTTCCCTGATATTTCCAGGTAGAATTAATACTTGCTTTGTCTGTGTTTTCATAGTACACTGTTTGTGCTGCTAGCAGGTTCTGGTTTAATTCTGCCTTGTATTACCTTGATTTGTGTACAAGTCTGTCTCCCTCCCTTGACTGAACTTGAAAGAAAGGACCTTGAGTTATTCATTTGTTTTTCCTATAGCACCTAGAAGAGTTCCTGGCACCTGGCTGGTGCTGAAAAAATGTTTATTAACTATGAAGTGAGAGGCCCAGAGGTAGTGGGGGTCTGGGGCTGAACCTTTGGGAGAGCATATGTTGTGTTGGTGCAGTGACCAGGAAGGGTATACCCTTCTGCTCTTCATTGATCAGGTATCCTAAGAGCTTGTTAGAGGGACAATATGTAGTTGCTTTTCCAATAACTACGGGGCTTTTGTTTTGTTGGATAGGGTATGGAAGCTGAATTGTCCAGGGTTAGCAGAGGTCATAAAATGGTGGCCTGTGGCCCAAGATTATATAGGCTGCCAAGAATGTAAATTTTCTGAATCATTTTCTAACTTTTAAAAATAAAGAGATTTTATCCCAAACTCTGGACTTTCAACTTCTCTTTAAAAATTGAAAAATATTTCAACATTGGGACCACTTTCTTCCACTGCCATTAGCTGAGGCTGAATAGGGCTGTTCTTTAGATGAGACAAGGGCTCTTCAGATTACTATAGTCTTTGTTACTTCCACTTTTTTTTTATATTGACACATAACTCACATACCATAAAATTCACTCTTTTAAAGTGTGAAATTCAGTGGTTTTTACTATAGTCACAAGGCCGTGCAACTATCACCACTATCTAAGATTATTTTC